TTTGTAGAGGGAGAATGCATGAGGGGACCTGGTTTTGCGCCATAGTCTCTCCAGCGCACGACTGCGACGTTTGAGGCATTTAGTATGGTCGTTCTGCCATGGTTGGAGCGGTCTGGGTTTGATGTTGCGTGTGGTTAGGGGTGCCAGAGAGTCTAGGGTAGCTGATAGTGAGTCGTTGTACGCGGTGGTGGCTAGGTCAGGACATGACAGTGGTATTCTAAATGAGGTCTAACTAAAGATCTCTATAGGGGAATCAGGACCTCCTTCCTCCTGCTGGTGACCCCTCGGTTGCTGCATCCTAGAATTTTATTCACCTTCCCCACTGCCTGGCCACACTGTTTGCTCATTTTGCAATCATCTGAAATAAGTAACCCCGAGTCCTTTTCCTCTGTAGTGCTGACCAACACTGTACCCCCAATTTTGTACTCTCTCAAGGGATTCTTTTTACCTACGTGCATTATTTTACATTTACACACATTGAACTGCAGTTTCCACTTTTTTGACCAATCTTCCAGTAATATCAACCTGATTACACACCTTTGTGTCATCAGCAAAAAGACATGGCTTACCCAACAAACCTTTTGTTATATCACTTACGTAAAGATTAAATAGAACAGGATCTAGTACAGGGCTTGGGGTACACCAAGGGAACCCCATTTACAACCACACTCTGGTATCTATCCTTTAGCCAGCTGCATATCCACTGAACCACCCAAGGGCTATGTCCTACTTGTACAACTTTTGTATTAGATCATTACGTGGAACTGTATCAAATACTTTGCAGAAATCAAGATATGCTACGTCCACAGCACCACCGTGGTCCCAAACATTGGTAATATAGTAAAAAAAAATCCAATATACCATCTGTTATACTCACTTGTCCCGCGGTATCATAAAGTCCAAGAAGGTACTGTCTGCCGCCAACAGTAACACTCACTGTAACAACAAAAACACTGTGTTAGACTGAAGAAAACTAAATTTGGTGACAACCAAGCACAGCACTCTATAACCCAATGGATGGATGGAGGGGGGAGTATTTAGAAGGCTTATCAGTGTACTGATCGTCACTAGAAGAAAAAAAAGCAGGGGAGGGATGGAGGCACAGAACTACTGATTGACTTCTGTACAACCAGCATGTTGGTTTTTCTCCAAACAATCGGTGACAATGACTATAGTGAGCAACACTAATCATTGTGTTCTGCTGGCAGGGAGTATTACAGGGGTACCCCTGATGAAGTCACGTGACCGTGACGAAACATGCTGGGCAGGGCGATGTGACGAGTGCCGAAACAAGAACTGACACAAGAGCCGCGGCCACGCTGTCTGTAACTATATGTGTTTTTTTTATCTATTTTATGTAATAAAGTGATTTTTAAATATACTACACAATGAGGGATTCCTGTGTTGCATGAACTTACTTGCAGGGAGAATCCAACATTTTTAACCCATTGACGCAGACGTCACACAAATATGCGGCTTCACAGAACTGGGCTTTTTTCCGTGGGGCCGCATATTTGGATACCTGTTTTTGTGCTGGGAGCGCGCCGCACAAAGACCGCGGTGTCACTGAGAGCCCCGGTCCTGTTTCTAACGATCGGGACCTGGGACTCCCGATTTATTTTGGGTTGTTCTTTGGTAGTAGGTTATGGTAGTAACAAGAAACACACATCTAAATAAAAAAATGATTTTTTTTTACTATTTTGGGCCAGTTTTCCTTTGATAATAAAAAAAATCAGGAGATATTCATTACCATTTACCACCAAATGAAAGCCCAATTTGTCCTGAAAAAAAATCAAGGTATAATCCACCTGGATGTACAAAGTAGTTGTGATGATATGGACGGTTTTACTAACACATGTCAACGTTGCAAAATTGTGCTTAGGCATTTAGATTTGTTTTACCCTTAGGTGTGAAGGGGTTAAAAGGCCATACACTTGGACATTTAGAAGCAGTGTATACCACCGTATGTGACAACAGGAGGAGGAGTTTTGAAAGGAGCTCCATTGGAGTGGAGTTTATGATTAACCCCAGTGAGGGGAAGGTGTGTTTTGACCTGGGAATTGAACAGTAATTTTTGGAGGTGAGCGCATATATGAATGGTGATGGGAGTCTCTCAAGCACGTCTTCAGAGGGGGGTCGCCAATCACGTCGTGTCGTTTATAAATACGAACGGCGGACGACACGACGTGATTGGCGACCCCCCTCTGAAGACGTGCTTGAGCACGATACGCGTCAGGAGGAGCCACATCACGCCGTGACGTCACGCCGCCGGAGCAACGTGGAGCTCCGGCGGCCATCTTAACTACCAGCTGGTCAGTCCTCATACAGACTACTGTCTGCAACGCTGTATACTTTTCACTTTTTATCTGATACACCTTAATAAAATTCTTGGGTTTAACATACTACACTATGGGAGTGTTTTTGTCACCCCCTGGGGGAGTGCTCTAGTCCACAGACCCACTCCAGGAACGGATTACCACATACCACCCAGGCCATTTGGAGTGACAACATCCTCTAGGACCATATAGGGGGATCTCCTGAGGAGAAGGAATACTCACCTAGGATCCGATAGAGGGAAGACCACCCATCACCTGGCAGCAGGATTATAACACATAAGGCGCATATAATATGCGTGTCCGGTGAGTGCGCATTTCATTACCACCTCAACACGGATATCAAAGTCACCTCTACTATTTATATTTACCTGTGTTTACAGGACTACCCTATATCCTTGGTTTTCTTGATCCATCAGGGACTTTTTCATATATTGTTTATAAGCGCTGCACCTTCCATATATATATAGTAAATAGAGTCCAACTGTGTGCAACTTAATCTCAGTATAAATACAGCTGTTCTGTGAAGCCCTCAGAGGTTTGTTAGAGAACATTAATGAACAAACAGCATTATGAAAGCCAAGGAACACACCAGACAGGTCAGGGATAAAGTTGTGGGGAAGTTTAAAGCAGGGTTGGGTTATAAAAAAGTATCTCAAGCTTTGGACATCTCAGAGAGCACTGTTCAATCCATCATCCAAAAATGGAAAGCGTATGGCACAACTGCAAACCTACTAAGACATGGGCGTCCACCTAAACTGACAGGCTGGCAAGGAGAGCATTAGTCAGAGAAGCAGCCAAGAGGCCCATGGTAACTCTGGAGGAGCTGCAGAGATCCACAGCTCAAGTGGGAGAATCTGTCCAGAGGACAACAATTAGTCGTGCACTCCACAAATTTGGCCTTTAGGGAAGAGTGGCAAGAAGAAAGCCATTGGTGAAAGAGAGCCATAAGAAGTCGTTTTTGCAGTTTGCGAGAAGCCATGTGGGGAACACCGCAAATGCGGAAGAAGGGGCTCTGGTCAGATGAGACCAAAATGGAACTTTTTCGCCTAAAAGCAAAACGCTATGTGTGGTGGAAAACTAACACGGCACATCATCCTGAACACTCCATCCCCACTGTGAAACATGGTGGCTGAGATAATTGTGCGCACAGATATGGACAATGACAACCATAATCACCTTCCAGCAGGACAATGACCCTAAACATACAGCCAGAGCTACAATGGAATGGTTTAGATCAAAGCATATTCATGTGTTAGAATGGCCCAGTCAAAGTCCAGACCTAAATCCATTTGAGAATCTGTGGCAAGACTTGAAAATTGCTGTTCAGATGCTCTCCATCCAATCTGACAGAGCTTGAGCTATTTTTCAAAGAAGAATGGGCAAAAATGTCCCTCCCTAGATGTGCAAAGCTGGTAGAGACATCCCCAAAAAGACTTGCAGCTGTAATTGCAGTGAAAGGTGGTTCTACAAACTATTGACTCCGGGGGGCTGAATACAAATGCCGCCACACTTTTCACATATTTATTTGTAAAAAAATTTTGAAAACCATTTATCATTTTCCTTCCACTTCACAATTATGTGCCATTTTTTGTTGGTCTATCACATCAAATCCCAATAAAATACATTTATGTTTTTGGTTGTAAAATGACAAAATGTGGAAGATTCCAAGGGGTATGAATACTTTTTCAAGGCAGTATACATAGCTCATTAGCTGCCATACACAGAAACAGGGATTGTAAAACAGTCACCTACTGATAAGATTATCCCAATCTCTTTTACATTTCTATAATAAAGCATCACCAAGTCTATATATTGCTGTTAAACCAAATTTAAACAGCTGCCACGTTTGTATGGTCCACGGCCAACGGGATAAACATTTCAAAACATTTTTATTCCCTAACGTATCCAACAGAAAGGACTGGTTTCCCTACGATGTTGTACTCCAGAAAAGGCTGCGTGTTAAATGACACCTCCGCTGGCATAGACGAGGCTTCTGCTGACTATCGGAGAAGGTTGGCAGCGGGTCATACACTTGTTCAGCTTTTCTATGACGCTCTGCCAGGCACTGCACTCTATCCCGTCCTAATATAGCCTACAAAGAGGAAGTTTAGGCTGAGCCAAGCACAATACAGAAGGCAAGCTCTGCCACAAGACCCCTCGGGGTCAAGTTGCGCTGCCCAAGGATCTAAAGTTCAAGGGAACATCACTTTAACCACTTGCCCTCCAGAGGATTTATCCCCCTTCCTGACCAGGCCATTGTTTGCGTTGTGGCGCTGCTTTATTTTAACTGACAATTGCACGGTCATGCAACGCTGCACTTAAATGAAATTTACGTTCTTATTTTCCCACAAATTGAGCTTTCTTTTGGTGGTATTTGATCACCTGTGCGGTTTTTATTTTTTGCACTATAATAAAAAAGACTGACAATTTAGGAAAAAAAACAATATTTTTAACTTTTTGCTATTAAACATGTCCAGTAAAAAAATAAAAACAATCTAATTTCGTCATAAATTTAGGTCAAAATGTATTCTGCTCCGTGTCTTTGCTAAAAAAAAAATCCCAATACGTGTAAATGAATTGATTTAAGTGAAAGTTATAGCGTTTACAAATGGTGGTATATATATTTGTTTTGGTTTTTTTAATTTTTACTAGTAATGGCGGCGATCAGCAACTTATAGCGGGACTGCGGCGGGCATTCTGACACTGGGGGGAACTGGCTTGGTGTCACTGACATCCCCAGTGACACCAATACAGTGATCAGTGCTAATAAAAAACAATGACACTACTAATGGCACTGGGCAGGAAGGGGTTAACATGTGGGGCGATCAAAGGGTTAACTGTGTGCTGTGTGTGTTTTACTTTGTGCTGTGTGTGTGCTTTCAACTGTAAGGAGCTGACAGGGTAGATAACTGTATTGTTACTCTTAGATTGTAAGTTCCAAGGATCAGGCCCTCCTAACTCTCTTGTATTGAACTGTATTGTTGCTGTATTGTCTCCCTTTATATTGCAAAGTGCTGAGCAAACTGTTGGCACTATATAAATCCTGTATAATAATAATATTGTTTACATACAGTTCTCTCCCTCTGTCGGTAATGCTGCTCGATCACCGGGTGCCGGCAAGTAATCACCAGCTGGGACCCGGTGATTGACAGCCGAGGCCGCAAACACGGAAATGCAAATCACTTATATATACATGTGATTTTGCGCACCTGTGCCGCCCTGTAGCAGTATTACTGCTATAGGGAGGACGGGAAGCGGTTAAAGATAAAGTATCTTTTTTTTTTAAGGTTTACAAATAAATATTTAGTACAGAGTGTTGGGCTTTTCTAATAAGAAAGCTCAGCAATGTTTCTGCATAAATGTTGATGGAGAGAAATGTCACTGGCACACCAAGGATCTCCAAGGCTTTAACAAAGGTCTACATAGTTACAACAAGGCAACGTTTCAGAGTCTCACAGGACCCCTTCATCAGGCATGTGACAAATTGTGAAGAAACTAAAGAACAATTTAACCATTTGCCGTCCGGCCAATGGCCATTTGGCGGCTGCAAAAATGCACTAGATTTCCGGGGTGGACACCATTTGGCGTCCTCCCGCACATGTGCAGTTTTTGCGCTTGCAGAGCTGCACAACGGCGCGATCTGCCACCGGCCGTGTACCTCGGACACGGCCGATGACAGATCTGAGTACCGGCCCCTGTTGCCGGTACCATGTGACCTGCTGTGACCAATCACAGCAGGTCACATGACAGTTGTATACAATGGATGGCTTCATTCATGCCATCCATTGTATACTAGTGCCTAGCTGTGAATGGTCACAGCAGGTCACATGCACATGTCATGTGATTAGCTGTGGCCAAATCACAGCTAAGCACAAAAAAAAAAAAAAAAAAAAAAACCCTGAATGAATCGATGTCATTCAGGTAAATGCTGCTTATAGCAAAGTAATTCTTTGCTATAAGCAAATTGTGTAAAAAAAAAAAAAATACTGATCACTTCCCCAAAGTAGTACAATGTTACTATGGTAACATTGTACTACTTTGGTCATAGTGAAATATGAAAAAAAATCTTAAAAAAAAAAAAAAGTAATTAAAAATAAAAATAAAATAAAAAAAAAATATATATATATTTTTTTTTTCATACTGTCACCAGTCAGTGTCCCTGATCACCGCCATGCCAGTTATATGATGACGCTGTACTGCACTGGTGACAGTATGTAAAAACAAAAAAAGAGAAAATAATTTGTTTAATTTTTTCATTTTCCGAAAAATTATGACAAAAAAAATACAACTTCAAAAAACTCGCCATTCCTCTTATGAAGTACGTCGGACGGTCTAGTTTACAAAAAGGGGTCATTTGGGGGATATCTGTACTGTTCTGACATTCTTGGACCTCAAGAAATTAGATTGGCTGTCAGTACTTCAGGATCAATATTCAGATCTATACCATAGTTTGTGAACTCTATAACTTTCCTACAAACTAAAAAATACATCCTAATTTGGGTTACTTTCACCAAAGACATGTAGCAGAATACATCTCGCCCTAAATTTATGAAGAACAATTATTTATTTGTAAACTTTTATAACAGAAACAAAGAAAAACGTGTTTTTTCTTCAAAATTTTTGGTCTTTTTTTGTTAATTTAGCAAAAAATAAAAACCCCAGCAGTGATTAAATACCACCAAAAGAAAGCTCTAGTTGTGTGAAGAGAATTAAAAAATTTTAGTGTTTGGGTTCAATGTTGTATGACCGCGCAATTGTCATTCAAAGTGTGAGAGCGCTGAAACCTGAAAAATGGCCTGGGCAGGAAGGGGTAACATTGCCCGGTATTGAATTGGTTAAAGAACCATGCACAAAATTGAGCCAGGCCCCGCCCCATGACATCATGTTGGTATCCTGTGTATAACTGACTAAACCAGTGGGTCCCATATTTGCTAGCAGAGGAGGAAAGTCAATGACATAGGCGGTACATACAATGTAGGACTATTCTGTATACATAGTACAAAAGAGTTGGCACGCAGCGACTAATTCTTAGCGCTTATTTTATTTCATCTTTGGCCCACAATCAAGATATGACAGAGATGTTAACACATTTTGCCCAATACGGCCTTACTCATGAGCCGAAATGTGTTAGCAGGAAATGATGTTGTTCCTCCCACTGTGTGACATCAGAACCTGGAAGCGACAACAATTTAGTCACTGTCAGGGAATGGGAAGATCGCCGCTGCGATCGAATCTGCACATGCGTAGAATCCTGACAAAACGTACAGGCAGGCAGGCACTAGGACCCAGGCGTGCCTGTCACAAATGACGGGCTAGGCAAGCACTAGGACCCAGGAGTGCCTGTCAGGAGTCGGGTGGGACTATATAAACCCGGCTCTTGCAATGCTCAAGTGCCGTATGGTCTTATCTGTGTTCCTGAGTTCCTGTGAGTAGATTGTTTGTTGCCGAACCTGCCTGACCCTGATTTGCTGTCCGTCTCCTGCTCTGATCCCTGGCTTTGTCTGACCATTCTCCTGCTTAACCCTGTACGTTCTGACCTCCTGCTAACGAACCCGGCTTGTGACCTGTTTATCCCACTGCCTGCTGATTTTGTACTACGCCGCCACCACTGTTACCGACCCGGCTTGCCTGACGCTGCTCCTGTTACCTCCTCACATCAGACTCTCACCTGCTATACACCTCCAACGGTGCTTCTACCACAGCTGGGTGAACCCAGGGGCCGCGACCTGGTCTCGGCCTGCTCCAAGTCCATCCCCACCATCAGGGGCCCTGGTGAACAAGCAGGTCGGAGCTTAGATTCCGCGCCTTGGGGGAATCCAGTCTGTGGAGTGCTAGAGGCTACCGCAGTGGGGTCCCTGACAGTCACCTCTGGTTTTGGCTCTTTGTATATTGGCTGGTTACTAGCCTGGGAAGCCCAAAGGACAGATGGGGTGGTCTAATAGAACCTGTCATTGCTATTGCTGTCACGAGGAATGTTTGCATTCCTTGTAACAGCAATAAAAGTGATCAAAAATGTTTTTAAATAAACAATATAAAAAAATTACATTAAATAAAAAAAAAAATGTTTTAAAGTGCCCCCATCCCCCGTGCTTACACACAGTGGCACCGTTTTTACATCAGTAAGGAGAGTTGATTGGAGGGAAGAGACACACCCCCTTCACACAGCACACAGGAAGAGAGCTGAGGCTGTCATTCACAGGCTGTGTGCTGAAGCTCCCTCCCCCGTTATTTTTTTCTCTTGGTGTCAGGAAAACTTGTCAGAAGTGACTCATGCTAATAGCAGAGGAAAGAAGCAGCACACACAGAAATAGCACTTAATGCTCTGGATTGAGACAAGTACACACTACAGAGGGATATGCTTTGTTCATATTTCATGATTTAGGTTTACAACCACTTTTAACGCTGGCCATACTTTGTTCAGATTTCTGGTTCATCTGGTTCCTGATGAATTGGCTGAAATTCACTCAGTGGTTTGCCCTGTCAGCAAAAAAACATCAAAGGAGCTGGGCAAAAAATTGTCAGCTGAGCAACGCCTGCATCCAATCAGATACAAGTACTGTTTGAGTATTTTGAAATCTATCAGGGCCTGCTGTCTGAGTACAATAGCCGCAGAGGGAGAGTCAGCCATCCATGCTGTGTAAAGTGGATGGAGGGATCTGTAAGATTTTTTTCTGTTCAACCTGCAGGGTGAACAGCAAAAATCTATGTGGGTTATTCCGTAAAACAGGAGAGTGCAAAATCTGGTGCAACTGTCCATAGACACCAATCAGCTTCCAGATTTGAAAAAGCTGAAGCTAGAAGCTGATTGGCTACCATGCACAGCTACACCAGATCCTGAGCGCTCCAGTTTTAGTAAATCCCCCCTATGGGTGTATAGCCAGCATTACTGTCCTAGGATGACAACCCATGGTGAGTGAACGTTGACCCTTTTGCTAAGTATGATTGATGGCGTCCATTCTATGTACATAGAAGGCTTTATTTATCCAAGTTTGGGTGCAGAGGGTCTGGGACTACACATGCACACGGCTGTAGGTCATTCCTCTCTGGGTCATGGCTAATATTAGCATCTGATGTGACGTGGAATTATTTCCCAGTACAAGGACATCTGTCAGTCCTATTAAATAAAGCACAAACCTGGACATATAAGAAAAACGAATGCACAGATGTTACCTGTAGAGGTGGCTTTTATTAACCCCTCGCCTACAGGGCACTTCTACCCCCTTCCTGCCCAGGCCAATTTCCAGCTTTCAGCGCTGTTGCACTTTGAATGACAATTGCGAGGTCATGCAACACTGTACCCATATGACATTTTTATCATTTTTTGTGACAGATAGAGCTTTTTTTTTGGTGGTATTTAATCACCTCTGGGTTTTTTTTTTTTCTTAAACAAACCAAAAACCACTGAAAATTGTGAAAAAAAAAAAAAAACGTTTGTTTCTTAGTTTTTGTTATAAAATTTTGTAAATAGGCGATTTTTCTCCTTCACTGATGTGCGCTAATGAGGCTGAAGTGATGGGCACTGATAGGTTGTACTGATGGACACTGATAGGTGGCACTGATAGGAGCACTGGTACTGATGGGCATTGACAGGCATCACTGATGGGTACTGAAAGGCAGCACTCATATATGGCACTGATAGGTGGCACTGATAGGCAGCACTGACTGGCACTGATAGGTGCACTGACTGGCACTGATAGGCGGCACTGACTGGCACTGTTAGGTGGCACTGACTGGCACTGTTAGGCAGCACTGATAGGCAGCACTGATGCACACTGATAGGCGGCACTGACTGGCACTGATAGGTGGCAATGACTGGCACTGATAGGTGGCAATGACTGGCATTGATAGGTGGCACTGACTGGAACTGATGGGTGACACTAAAAGGCAGCTCAGATGGGCACTGATATGTGGCATTGATGTGGCACTGATGGGCACTGGCAGGTGGCATGGATGAGCACTGACAGCTGACACTGATGGACACTGACAGGTGACGCTGCTGGGGCTACACAGATCATCAGGGCACACTGATCATCAGTGCTCTGATGATCTGTGTACATGTCCCCTCCGAGGAATGCCGATTACCGGCTCTCCTCTCCTCTCCTCTGTCAGCGTGACAGTTTGTGGAGAGAGAAATGCTGATAACCGGCATTTCCCTGTTTACATGTGATCATCTGTGATTGGACACAGCTGATCACATGACCGAGCCGACATCTTCGGCTCTTTCTGTGGATCGGTGATCCGCTGTGTCCGAGGGACACAGTGCGCAGCCGATCGCCGCGCTGCACGCTCCGGGAGCCGGGCATGCGCGGTGAGAATGGGAGGACGTCATATGACGTCCTCCCAGAATGAGAGAACCACCTTGCATCTGTCATATTACTATATGGCGGGCGGGAGGTGGTTAAAGTGATTGTAAACCCTTACATATACCCAGTGAAGTGACTGGCCTCAGGTGATACACAGAGATTAAATAAATCCTCCTACATAAGTTGTACCTGTTTATCTATAGCCACCCGTCCTCTACATCCATTCAAAGTGCAGAATTTACACAGGATCTCTCGGTTCTGAAAAACAGGGGGCGGGGAGCTGAATTTACATCAGTGAGGAGAGCTCTCAGAGCTGATTGGAGAGAAGGGCACATCCCCTTTTACACAGCTCACAGGAACAGAGTTGAGGCTGTCAATCTGCTGGAGGTCCCTCCCCTGTCACCATTTTTCTCTTGGTGTCAGGAAAACTTGTCAGAAGTGACTCATGCTGATAGCACAGGAATGAGGCAGCAGACAGAAACTTATTGCACTTGTTAAAGACAAGTACACACTATAGATGGCTATGCTTTGCTCATATTTCACGTCTGACGTTTGTAACCACTTTAAGATAACCTCGGCTTATGTGCTTTTCCATCATGCCTAGGTTACAGCCCACCTTACGTCATGTCTCCTCTTGCATCAGGTTCCCCATCAGAGTCCCCCCTCCTTACACCAGAATCCCCCCTGACATCATGGTTCCCATTAGAGTCCCCCCTTACATAAAGGGTTCCCATTATCTTACATCAGGCTCCCCATCAAAATCCCCCCTTACATCAGGTTCAACATCTGAGTCCCCCCTTGCATCAGGTTCCCCATCAGAGTACCCCCTGACATCAGGGTTCCCATCAGTGCCCCCCTTGGATCAGGTTCCCCATCAGAGTCCACTCTTACATCAGGATCCCCTATCAGAGTATCCCCTTACTTCAGGTTCTACATAAGAGTCCCCGCTTACATCAAGAGCCCCATCAGATTCCCCCCTTACTTCAGGTTCTCCATCAAAGTTCTCCCCCTCTTGCATCAGGTCAAAGTCCCCCCTTGCATCAGGGTTCCCATCAGAGCCCTCCTTGCATTTGGTTCCCCATCAGAGTCCATTCTTACATCAGGATCCCACATCAGAATACTCCCTTACTTCAGTTTCCCATAAAAGTCCTCCCTTACATCAGGGTCCCATCAGAGCCCCCCCCCCCCCCTTTCAACAGGTTCCCTATCAGGGTCTCCCCTTACATCAGGGTCCCCATCAGAGTCCCCTCCTTACATCACAGTTTCCATTAGAGTTCCCTCTTACTTCAGGGTTGCCATTAGAGTCCCCGCTTACATCAGAATCCTCATCAGAGCCCCCCCCCCAGCATCAGGATCCTCATCAGAGTTCCCCCTTACATCAGGATTTCCAGTAGGGTCCCCCCTTACATCAGGTTCCCCATCAGAATTCCCCCTTGAATGAGAATTGAGCAGCCTCTGCTGACCTTCATTCCCATTCATTGCACATTGAGGATACACCACTAACCCTAGCTGTGGGCCTGTTATAAAATCTGGGAGTGGGCACATCCAACAGTCTTGAGATCCTTGTCCTAGACTAAGCAACCATTTGACCCCACAGTGGGGGCCAGGTGTTTATTTATTTAAAGAAGAAGTTCGGTCCTAAACCACGTGTCAAACACAAGGCCGTGGGCCGAATGCAGCCACGTCGGACCATATCATGTGGCCCTCACACTTCTCCTGCAGCTGCGGCACTCTCCTTGTCTCTGCCCCGCCTGTCTCAGCAGTTGACAGCACAGAGGAGGACAGAACTCCTCCAACAGATCCTGCACCTCTCTGTGCAACCCCAGAGAGGCTTGTCTCTACTCCCCACCTCCCAACCTCTGATCCTCCTCCAGACCCTGCACTTTCTGCTTCCCAGCCCACCCCCAGGCTTCTTCCTGACAGCAGCACAGGAAAGGGGGGGGGGATTTAAGGGATGGTGGGGCTCTTGACATCTGATGTAATGGTGGGTAGGGTGGTCTGGATATCTAGTCTTACAGATACAACCAGCCCTTTGAGGGCAACCAAAATGCTGATGTGGCCCGTGATGAAATTGAGTTTGGCATCCCTGTACTAAACTAACTAGCCTGTAGAGGAAAGATTTCTATACTTAACTATTCTCAGGGCGCTCTGGTCCAGTCAGGGACCTCTAGGCTAGCGGCTGGGGATTCGACTTCTGATGGTGGGGCTCTTGACATCTGATGTAGGTGGGGTGGACTTGACATCTGATCTTACAGATACAACCAGCCCTTTGAGGGCAACCAAAATGCTGATGTGGCCCGTGATGAAATTGAGTTTGGCATCCCTGTACTAAACTAACTAGCCTGTAGAGGAAAGATCTCTATACTTACCTATACTCAGAGCGCTCTGGTCCGGTCAGGGACCTCTCGGTTCAGGGGAGAGGAGATATCGTGGTGACGTCACCCATAGGCTTGCTGCCTATGCCCCATCCGTTGTCCGCTGTCCCTCCTCTCCCTTGAAGCCACCACTGGGAGCCCATCATGTGACCGGACTTGAAAGCCCTGAGAATAGGTAAGTATATACATTTGTCCTCTATAGGGGGGTTAGTATGAGGCTTAGAATGGCGGTGGGAGCAGGTTTAACATTAGACAACTTTGGACTTCCACTTTAACTGTAATCAGTCAATCCGACAATGACAGGAAATTGGGTAAAAGCTAAAAGTATGGTTTCATCATTTTATTATCTTCTAATTTGCTGAGTCACATGGTACAACTCAGCAACTCAAAAAATGTAAAAACCGGCGATCTGTGAGATTGTATCATATACAGCTCCTGCTTGAGATGTCAGTGTGGTTTCCTGGACTAAGTCCCAGCTCCCCGTGCAACTAACTGATCACATGGGTGTTCCTTCGAAGGCAGAAATTTGGGGAGAACATTGAAGTGGAACTAAACACTCCTATCCTTTACAGCCAAGGAAGCTGCCATCTTAGCCTCTGATCCATGGATGTAATGGTGCTGCACATGCGATCAGTTATGACACCGGCCATTTGATGGCTTGACAGTTCATTTGAGAGAACAAGCAACTGTGAGTTATCACTCACGGCATGCAATGGGGTTGATATACTAAAGGCAAATAGACCTTGCACTTTGCAAAGTGCAGTTGCCCCAGAGCTTAGTAAATGAGCAGAAGCTCTGCCGACTTCCAT